AACCCAGTGTGAGCAACTCTCAGTGGAACCCTGTGTCTGGGTGTTTTTTCCAATCCAAATGACTAGAGATAAGGCTAATAATAATATATTATTTTGAACTAATACAGTGCAAAGAAAAGGAATTGGGATGGATGGAGGGCCTTCAGTATAACCACAAAAATAATTTTAAAGAACTGCTGGTCTTCAGTTTGGTGGTCTGCTTTCACAGTGGATCCTGTGTGGCAGGGCTGGGCCATGATTCTATGTGACCCTCTGGTATCAGGACCCACAGGCCTCTCAGTGGCTGGAGATGCTGGTCATCCTAGGAAACTGATGTCTGCAGCACCATTCCTGGGAACATGATCCCGCCAAGAGAATACCGATTTTATAGCCATGAGAAAGATAAATATAGGAGATAGGGCTCATTGCGTTCATCTTTCTTTCCAGGACATCTATCAGTAAATGTTGCCTTACATAAAATGTACTAATTCTAGCTGTAGCTCAGAACTGATGGTTTCATGCCCAGTAGAAAATTTTTTCATTTCTTTGACGTTTTAAAATTAAATTTCATTTATCTTGAATTTCCCCTTGTAAAAAATTAATTCCTACAGCTATGGGACCTAATAATGAAATGTATTAGTTTCTTAACTTCCTACACTTGGAATCTAATAGGGAAACAGAATAATAGATGAAGTCAAATTTAACTAAAAAAACGGGGACTACTTCAGTCCTGAGTCAGGCAACAGCCTGGCCCAGGGGAGTTTGGTGTGCCAGTACCATTTGTATGGTATTTTGTTTGAAAACCTTACTCACTTAGGCTATCTCAATTGACCCTCAGTGGAAATACAACCAGGTTTTCAAGTCTGGCATCAGTAATGATCAGTGTCAGATGCTTCAGGAGTTTTCTTACAATCCCTGTAGTAGTCTGAGGCCCAAGGTGCCTAGGTAAACATTTCTGCAGACAGAGAGAGCAGGTAACAAATGCTCATGAGGGAAACACACAATTCCCATGTGCCTGACCAAAGGGTGGTCCCAATGGAATCGGCCCTTTCAAATCTGGCAATAATGGTAAAGAACTGTCCCAGGTTATATGAATTTTGATTAACTCATGGTTTTGTTAGAATAGGGCCAGATTTGATGTAAGAAGAGTCATTTCCTAAGCCATGACCTTTCTCTTATTGATGAGAGAGAAACAGAAAATATGAAGAAGCTATGTGAGAGTATAAGGAATGGCCGGAAACTGAAATAATTTCATTGGCTAAAGTGCTCTGGAGATGGACGTACCTTTCCACGACAAGCGTATGCACTTAGTGCAGTGTCCGGCACTTAGTAGGACTTCAGTAAATGTCAGTAAGATGTAACAACAAATAATAGGGATTATACGTGATCGTATTTGTTTTTTTTTTCATTTTTTCTCATTAGTCTTGAATTTCCACTCCAATTTTGTCTGTGTTCTTGATTGTGTTGGACTAGGTATGGAATAATTTATGTTGAGTGGGCAAATGAAGATAGACAGTCTTGCAGTGGTACTCTGTACTTGCTTCCAAGGCAATATTAATATTCTCCATTTCAGACGAACAAAAATGATTTATTTTTGTTAGCACTGAAATTTCCATTATAATGAAAATAGTTATATTGGCCAATTAGTTTAATATTAGACTAATCAATATTTTTCTTTTTTTCTTGATAGATTTTCTTATATAGTCCTTAAAAAAGACAATTGTACATCCCTACATAATTCTGAATTTGACAGTTGGACCTTGCAGGAGATTGGAGGGTGATTTTGCTCAGTGACACAAGCTTTTTCTTTCACTTTTTTACATTATCACAGATGAGAATGTATTCAATATTAAAACACTGATGATAAAGAAAATATGTATAACTTACTTTCAAATCTCAGGGTTATAGAGTTCATTCTATATCTTTCTACTGCACCTATGAAATTCCCTAGATATCTAACTCTGGTCTTTATCAACACCTGACACTTTCTCTATTTCAGAATTGAGGCTGCTAACTTTCCAGCATAGAAATAGTGAAGTGGTTAGGAAGTTGATGTCACCAATTAGGAATTGGTGAGACTGACTCACAGGATAAGGTGAGGAGGAACAGTTGTTAGCTGGCTTGAGGTCTTTCAACATACTGTTTCAGAATGAGAGATTTAGATCCAGCAGAAATGGGGTATTTATTATATATTAAGCTGGTGCTATATATTTGAACATTTTGTCATTTAATATTCACAAGAGTCCCTTGGAGACCAGCATCACATCACCACATTATTATCTCTTTTACAGAAAAGGAAATACATGCTCAGAGAGATTAAGAATTTGCTAGAAGTTACATACTGAAAAACAATGAAGCCAGATTCATGTCCAAACTGGTCCTTTACATGCCTCTACCACTGAAAAAGACAAGTCCTCTTAAGTTCTCTTTCCCTACCCTTCAGCCCTACAGATATTTTTCAGTCTGACTCATGGTTTCATGAATTTTGAGGTGGGAAAAAGATTTAAAATTGTTTATCTGCATACAGATCTGAGTTCCTGCAACCAAACAAAATCCAGAGCCACTAATAGGGACCGATGGGATAGGTGCAAGAAGTCACCTGACCTATTAAAAAGGTGGTGACTCCTTTTTATCCTAATTCTCTTGTTTAAAAATGAATAAATATAATATAGATAAAAGAATTGCACATCTATTTGTCAGGACTATCTTCCAAAATTGATCTCTGCTGTTTGTGAAGGAAAGGTGAGGAGGAATCTGGGAGAACAGATAGGGAATGTGGAGGATAATTTGGAAGTTTTATTGTTTTAAAACATTGGGAATATATTTTGCACACATAAGCATTGTATACACACATATGTATGATTATATACAATTATACGTGTAAGGATATGTATATATAGGTAGGGGTATGCCTATATTACATACATAGGCAGACTTTTGTCTCTTGGTATGCACATAGATCTTTGTCTCTACAGAGTCGATGGATGTTTTATTACTTGAAAGCATTTTTATTCTTCTCATGCTCATGAAAAATAGCTCAGCTGAAAATAGAATTTTATATTGAGTATTATCTCTAAGCTTTTAAAAGACATTCCATTTTTTGACTATTGTCACTAAGGAGGAATCTACTGGCAATGAAAATGTTAAGAAAAAATGTTGATAGCACAGAGGAAATTAAAGAAGAAATTAGTTTTTACAAATGAATGATCATGCCATACAACATACAGGAATCTATGGGACACAATGAAAGCAGTTCTAGTTCTGCAAGGGAAATTTATAGCTGTGAATACTCTCACTAGGAAAACAGAGCGAGCTCAAATGAACAACCTAATTCTGAATCTTAAGCTTCTAGAAAAAGAAGAGTAAGACAAACCCAAAGCTCATACAAGGGAGAAAATTATAAAGATCAGAGCAGAAAACAATGTAATGGAGACTAACAGAACAATAAAAAAAAATCAATGAATCAAAGAGTTGTTTTTTTGAAAGAATAAATAAAATTGATAAACCCTAACCCAATCTTATCAAAAAAAGGAAATAAAAGGCTCAAATCTATGCAATGAGGAATGAAAAAGGTGAAGTCACAAGAGATCCAGCAGAAATCCAGAGGATCATCAATACCTATTTTGGAAACTGTACTCTAATAAAATGGAAAACACAGAAGAATTGGACAGATTTCTAAATACATATGAATTACCAAAGTTGAACAAAGAAGATATAAAGATAGTTATTATCTTTTAGATATATTATCTTAATTTGAAATGTTCTAAAATCTTTCTTTTCACATTTTGATATTTCTCTGATTTACTCTCATATGTCTAGATGCAGATTTACCTTAACTAAATCTTGTTTGCATTTAGTATTTTAATAGTACTCGCAGTCTTCATATTTTGGCACTTGTAGCCATGATCGCACTGAACTTTTCAACAATGCCATTTTCTGTAATACCCTGTGATGCACTCTGGATTTTTGAAAAGTAACTTTCTTATTGTGAAGTTTTTTCACAGGTTCTGGAATTTTATGTGAAAATTTATTCTCTCATACTCTAACACTGTAGATTTGCAGGTATTGTCACTGGCCCCTTGGCTTAGAGCCCAGAGACACATCTTATGCTGGTGGCAGAAGTTCTTTTCCCATGGCAATATTAATGATACCACATAACAAGGCATTGAGTGTCTAGGCTCAGGTCCTGGCCAAGAGTCTGTGTATGTTTGCTTTACCTCCTAGACACTCAGCTCCTTACAAGCCATTGCCCAACAGGCTTGGATGTGGCAGCTTTGCTCAGCTTATTTTCACAGTGTTGTTTTATACAGTGAGACTTGTTCCATTACCCACCTTCTCCATTGTGCAGGAATCACGCTCCTGGAAGCCACTGCCTGCTCTTGTTCCAAGAGATGAGAGGCTCTCCATTTAATATTGCTGCCTGTTTCACAGAGATGTTACCTTGATTTGTAAAAATAACTTTCTGTTTTTGATGTTCTCCATATTTTATCAATACCGTGGATGGCATAAGGGAGAATGAGGGAAAGCTCCAAATCTGAACTGTGATTAAACATTTTAAGATAAAAAACCTCCTCATAATTGCTAAAAAGACACAAGTTATTTTTTGGTGACTCTAGTCCAGGTTTTCTAGCCCTCAAAATTATTCACTTTTTAGGCCAGATAATTACTTCTTGGGGGAAAAGTGTTGTTTTGTACTTCACTGAATGTTTACTAACATCCCTGGCCTCTACCAACGAGACACAACTAGCATGCCCCTTTCCTCCAAGCTGTGTTGACCAAACTTGTGTGCAATTATTCCCAAATATACCTGGGGAGATGTTAGCCCCTGTTGAGAACTACTACTCTAGTCTGTGCATGTCTCTTAGTCTTCTGTTTATGTCTAACCCCAGTCGTGTAAAATCAGAACTTGATTCTTAAAATACATAAGGAAACTTTAATTTTTCACTTAATGTATCCTTTCAGAACACTAGATTTTCAATGTGTTCAATTAACATGGCTGTTTTGTCTGATCTTGTAATTAGAGGCTTTAGAGGACATATGACTTGGAAGAATGTTTTGGAAAGAATTAGAAGCACCAACACTGTGGTAAGCTTAAGCTTTTGTAATTCACTGTCCTAATCCCTCTGATGGGACTGCCTTAAGATACATTATTACTTTCATTATTTCAGCTAATAAATGTCAGCTGCACTTTCGCTACATGTACAAAACTGATAGGAATTTTTGAGAGGATAATTGATAGGAACCGTTGGTAGGATACTTCTGTCAAGTATCGAGAGAAGACACAGATGTTCTTTATTTGACAGCTCTTGCTGGGCTAGGAGAAAGTTCATCTATTTCTTTAATCCAACCCTTTTCGTGTTGTAGTACACTATTCTTACAGGAAATCTAAGACTCAGGTTTGATTTCGAGTTGGGAGTTTTATTTTACAATGAAAAATGTAGACCTCCTATAGAAGGTCTTGAGACATAAGCTGCTTTGATCAGATGCTGAGGTCTGAGTGAATGGTAGACACTTTTTCATTACTAGAAGGTGGGGACAATGGCGGGGTGCTCAGGGAGGCCTCTGGGAGGTGGAAGCTCTCACTGCCTTCTGAAGAGAACAGAGGTTCAATCTGATGAAGTGGGGCCAGATTGGAAAGGTAGAAAAGGTGAGCATGTCCTCTCATGAAGGGGCCTCTGGCCTTGAACAGAAGCTGCTCTGTTCCTGTTCTCTTGGTCTTCAGAGGCAGCTGTCTCTAACAGACTCCTACTGTTGTACTTGATTTGTTAAGGAAATCATTCTCTCAAGGTCTGGGAGTGTGCTGTTCACTAGGGTGTTAGAGGGCTGTGTGAGCAAAGGTGTGGCTTTGTAACTTCAGAACCCACTGCTGATGAGCAGCAGCATTATGGTACACTAGCCTGTTGCCAAGACAAACTTCCTCTCCTCAACAGCCTATATTTTCCTGGCTTTATAGGCCTCAAGTCCCAGAAAGAAGACTTAAAAAAAATACAGAACAGAGAGAAATACCTCTTTTTGTCATGGGCACCATGGTGCAGCTTCTTAATGGCCTTCTCCAGAGGACTGCGTGCTAAGTGGAATGACACCTGCCTCCTTTTATTGGATTTCCAGCACTATTTCTCAAAATTAAGGTCCTCATTTCCAACTCACAGCTTCAGGTGTGCCTATATGATAACATTTATGCATCTGTATAAAATGTAATTATGTGTTGGTGTAAAAGATCTTAAATAAAACATTTGAGTAAATAAAATATTTGATGAATGAATAAAACATTAGTAGACTCTCTTGGCTCTGCTCAAATGCTAGTAATGAAACAGGTGCAATCTTTTTGTTCTAAATTCTTATTTACCATGTTGGAACTTATCTCTCAATTTAAAATATCACAATTAAAAAAAATCTCGTATCTTTCATTAGAGTTATCTGTATTTTAGACATCTTGTTTACTAAATTGTAAATTCTTAGCAGGGTTCATATCTTGTTCATTGTCCTTGCCCAATTTGACAGGTTTAGTCATAGGTTGGCAGCAGAGGCTCTTAATAAATTATGAGATAGATTTATCATTAAAAAGAGAAAAGGGAACCAAGCAGGAAACTCTTCCCAACCCTTCTATCATTTTCCTATATTGTAATGTTTAATATAAGTACTTGGTTTCAGGAGAGTGAGAATACATAAGAGATGGTTTTAATACATTGTTATTTACAACCTATACTTAAAAACCTTTCCTCTTATGACTCAAATTCAAAGCTAAGATAAACAGCAGATACCTTTTATGACTCACGTGCCCATAATTGAGCAAAATCACTTTTTGTGCCTTAGTGTTCACATTGTTTTAAATGGATATAAGGCAGGAGATGGATTTGCTGGTATCCCTGGTCTAGATGTTTCCATTGGAACTCCTTTATTCAAGGTCAGCCATAGAAGCAGAACTACTATGAATGTTATGAAATCAGAGATCGGATCTTAAAAACCGTTCTTCTTAAAGTATTTTCACAGGTGGAGTCAGACCCGTGTAGGAAAACCGGGGAAGCTAAGTATATCTAGTCACTGAAGTGGAGAGGAGACTAAGTATATGTGTAAATGTCTATAGAAAAATGTTCCATCTATACAGCTGCTGTCTTTCTAAGCCTGTGGTCAACTATCCGGTAAGTCATCCGGGTCACTGGTAAGGGAGAAGAGCTGGATGCGGAGTAGAAGAGAGCAATAGCAAGCTGAAACCCACTTGTCAACTCTGCATCCTTTCCTCACCATATCTCACCACAGATAGGAGGAGCAATGCCTACTGCTTCACTCCTGCTTACCAAATCTCAGGCAAGCTTCTTCTTTGGAAAACTTTGACATAGAACTGAGTCGTGAAGGGGATTCTGGGAACTTTGGCTTCCATCTTAATGTGTTGATAATATAATAACCTAGAATAATAATACTGCTCTATGACATGTAGAAGAAAACATAATACAGTCTATTGTTGATGTCCAACATGCTTGGAATATAGGGGAGAGCACAAAAGCATCCATTTACTATTCACATTGGCTCCTGTCTTGGCCCATTTGAGTTCAGCTATAGGGAGTATTGCAGGTTGTTTTTCCAAAGATGGTGATATGCATATGCTTAGTTAATTTCACATGCTCTTGTTACAGTGTGACTTACGCTGTCCACACCAAGATGCAGGTTCTGCATCTTCACCCTGTGAATCTGGGTTCTGATCAGTGATGGTAAAAATGGTGCTTTGTGACTTCTGAGATTAAGACACAAAGAGACACAGCTTCTGTCTTTGTCAGGACGCTTGCCTGTGGATCCCAGTCCTCATGTTGTGAGGAAGCTCAGTGCAGTTGGAGAGGTAACATGGAGGTGTTCTAGCTCCTGGCCTTTGAGTTTGCTGCAGAGGCCCAGCTGCCTTGAACAGAGAAGTGCTATGCCTATTATACCTTCTAAATTCTTTATTCACAGAAACCTTCAGAGGTAATGAATCTTCACTCACAGTCTTGTGGGTATCTTTTAAACTTTTCAATAGGTAAGTAGTTAATGTGGGCCCCGAAATGCTCCTCCATCTGTCTCCCAATTCCCACCTTCCTGGTGTCCTTTTGCCACCCTCTATGTCTTTGCAAGGGAATGTGTAAAGTCTTAGTGGGAACACAAATGAATGCTATCCCCATATCTCACAGTATTTTCCTGATTGTTATTCATGTAAAGTTAGGTTGTAAATTCTTTTTAAAAAATCTTTATGTTTTTAGTACATGTTTGCCATCCATAATGTTCACAGTCATCATGAGGAATTTGTACCTGTACAAAATACTGTATGTCTTAATTCTTTATTTTCTTTTTCCCCTCCCCTCCCTTCAACCCTTCTTCTCCTCCCTATTTACAAAAACTGTTTCCATTGTTTTCTTTCCATTCTCTTTTTTTTTTAAATCCCCTTTCCCTTCCTCGTCTTCTCCTCCCCCTCCATTCTCTTTCCCACTTGAACAAGTTCTTCTTACTTTCCAATATCTAACCTCCATTCTTGTCCTTATTTACCCTTTCAGTTTCTCACGCAAGAGAAATAATGCAGTATTTGAACGGTGTGCCTGATTTATTTCATTTAAGATTATGGTCTTGAGATGCATCTGTTTACCCAAATGTCTCAAGTTTATCTTTACGGCAAAGTAGTGCTTCATTGTATATAAATATATTTTCTTTATCCATTCATCTGTGGTGGACATATGGGCTATTTCCAAGATTTAGCGATTACAAATCGTGCTGCTATAAGCATGACTATATATGTGTCACTGTGGTGTAATACTTTTACCTCTTTTTTGAAGACAACTAGCTTGTAATTTCAGTGGCAACTTTGAAGTATAATGAGCAGCTTTGTGATGCTTGAGGCCCCAGTATTCACATGCTCCACTAACAGGGCACTACGGCCTTTTTGCTAAGTCTTAGGTCACATGTATACATGTGATACTTTCCTCAGATAAGTTTTGCTATTATTCTCTGGACTAATATCAATTAAAGTGCTTTAAACAACACTTTAAGTGCTGAATGGGAATTTTTTTGCCAACTGGTATTCAAGCATTGTCCTAGGTGGATATTAATGTAGTATGACACATGGTCAACCTGGTGAAGGTCTTGGCTCTGGAATCTAAATGACCTATGTTTGAATCTTGGCACTCTTAATTACTGCAATGATGACAAACTTTTAGCCACTTAAGACCTCATTTTCATTATCCTTCAAATGTGCCTAATAAGAGAATCTGGGTTTACAGTATAGATTAAATGTCATTATACTTTCTGTTGCATATATTATACTATGTAACTGACACATCATAATCACTCTTACTGATATCATTATAAATGTATTCTTTGGCAGAAGATACTTCTGAGTCATTTGTCCCTTGAAAATGTCAAATACTTTCATTATGATGTCATTTATTTTTCCTATTTCCTGACTCTTTCTACAAAGAAAAATACTAAAAATTTGCCTTTGAAATTCAATCTCCTACCTGAAATATTCCCTAACAGTTCCATCGCATATCTTTTTTCTTAAAATTTCTGTTACTCATATTACTCACATATTTAATTTATAACTACTGTTTTTCTGGGTTGGGTCTTGAGTCTTTAATAGAACTTTATTTAGCTCACTGAGAGATGTCTTATACCACCACATCTATACAATCTTGAATATTCTAGGTAGTTCTAGGCTCTAGATAGTTGGTGACGAAAAACTAACTGTTGCTTTCACTTTTAATTTGAAAGGTAATTAAAATAACATTCCCCCACTGCCATGGATCAAAGGACAGTTCAAGAGAGGTCACTGACAGGTCTAAACTGGGCCAGAGAGATGATTTTTGGACTTAATAAGGATAGCAGCAAAAGGGACCCTGGCTACACATCACATGTACACAAGGTATGTGAGGTACACTGCACATGTGGTGAAAGAATCTGGTTAGAAGGAATCGAAATATTAGATGCTTTGTGCTCTGTTTCTGCCTATCTTTTTTCCAAACCCAGTGAGAAATGGCTGGGATACTCTTCTTCCAAACCCAGTGGGTTCTTATGCCTGTGTCATGTTCCACCCCATTGACAGGGCTCCCTTTTTCCCAATAACTCCAAGATTTCTCAATAGACCAAAGGCAGAGCTTGGACTAGAATAGAAATTTCATAGATAACAGAATGCCGTGCTTAAGCAGAACTGAGAGAATGGAAAAACTGATCCACAGGAGGCCCACCCTGCCAGGGCAGCGACAGTTGGAGGAAGTGCTTTCAAAACAGTGTGTGGAGGCTGGCAGACCAGCACAGGGAGGGAGACATGCCAAAGCTTGCAAGCAAGCTCCCTATCTGAGACAGGGTGGATTCCACCTGTTTAAATCATAGCTTTCAAAGCTATGGTACCTCCCAACTATTTGTACCACTGCCAATCTATCTGAGGGATCTGGGCTGCCTTCTTATGGCAGAGACTGAAGACAGAAAGTTCTTCAGGTGTACAGAAAGAGAGTTTGTACACTGGCTTATAACTTACCCTTTAAAATATATATCATAAATAAAAGGAAGAATTCAGATGTATTATGTACAGGTACAAATTCCTTATGAAGAATGTGATCATTATGCATGGCAAATATGTATTAATAAAAGGACTAAAACACCCAAAATACACATATTTTCTCATAATAAACAGTACTGCATGCTAACTTTCCTATCCTTAGCAAACACTAGTTCAGATGATGAATTCCATAAAAGCAACTAGAGTACACAAATTAGGCACTTAGGTTTCACAGCCTTCTTACTTGCTTACATCATTAATGGGTGAGCAGAACCCGGCCATATTTCTACTGTGTTCTGAATCTGTTCCATAAGTCACATATCACTAAAAGATCTCTAAACAACCACAGCACACAGGGACTATCCTATGGGAGAAGCTGGCCTGGTTTTTCTTGATGGGGAAGAAATAAACCTGTTTAACCAGATGACTTCGTCTTTATTCTAATGACTGGGAAAAATACTACTAAAGATTAAGAGATGCGTGAATGATGTCTGTTCATGGAGGGAATTGATAGATACGGGCAAAATGGCATCAGTGGAGAGATAGTTTAGGGACTGCGTTGAAGAAATGAAATAAAACGCAACTACGGTCATTGAAAGACTTTTAACTTCATATCCAAAGTAGCTTGTTGAAAAGAAAAAAAAAATTCATTGATGTGAAACATTGAAATTATTGGCTTTCAACTGAGAGAGAAAATGGAGCCTATGTGATTTGGAAATAGCAAACACATTATTTATTTTTCCTTTTTTTTATGGAAATCTATTTTTCATAGTACTTCATTAAAGTGCTTCATTTACATAATACTTCTGGAAAAAATGGAAAAGGCTTCAAACTTTATTCTTTAGGTATCAGACAGAATATGCCTTCTCTCACCTCAGCTCAGTTGCACACATGCAGAGGCTTCAGACTCACAGCTATCACGGAGAGTTGGGGAAATTGCTACGAATAGTCCTGAGTGGAAAAGGGAGACCAATTTTTGATAATACAATGGGACAGATTCCTTTACTTTTCTACGAGCTTCAGCTTTCCCTGTCTTTCTAATGTCAGGGGCCTGTGATCAGAGGACACCTGAAAAGTCTTTGTAAAGAAAGCCTTACACTTGGACTTGTCGTATGCGTGTGGAACAAGTGAAGAGACAGCAGAGTGAAAGAAAATTCAGTCCTTTTCAGTGAGCAGGAGACTTTGATAGACTTCAGACTGCTAGAAATGTTACCTTTTACTTCAACTCTCTTCTTATGTGAATAGAGACAATTAGCCCATTTTTTTTGCCAGCGGGGTGGCAGAGAAGCTTGTACTTTAGTGGCACTTGGGTAGTTTTGAAGTGAGTTTTCAAAAATTTAGAAGCTTGTATAAATGTTCTGGAATGCCACTGCACAGATATTTGTGTCAGTAATTATTTTTGAATTGAAAATATCCACACTGGCAAGAAACTTAAGAGTAGGATTTTGTATAAACTCAATTAGGATGCTGAAAAATAATCCAAATATTATGACAAATGTTTTGGAAAGACGTGAAGCCAGGAGAAAAGATATTTATTTTACTAGCAGAGGGAAAGCAAAGCGAAAGGTCCAGGATTAATGTTACATTAAACTCCAAATAGATAGTAGACCTCTGTCTGAGGAAAAGCTGGTAGAAATGTTTTTCCCACATTGTGGGCTGTCTCTTTACGCAGTTAGTGGTTTCTCTTGCTGTGCAGAAGCTTTTTAATAAGAAGAGATCCCATTTTTTGGTTGTCTGTGCTAGTTCTTTTCCAGCTGAGGGTTTGTTCATGAAATCTTTTCCTATGCCAATGTCTTCAAGAGTTTTACCTAACTCTCTTTCATCTGGTTTAGTGTTTCTGTTTTAATATTTAGATCTTTAATCCACTCTGATTTTAGTGTTGTGCATGGTAAAAGATATAGGTCTAGTTTTAATCTTTGGCAAGTTGAAACCCAATTTTTCTAGCACCATTTAAAGAGGCTATCTTTCCTTCAGTGAGGGTGTTTGGCTCCTTTGTCAAAGATGATCTGGCTGACTGTGTCTGGAGTTGTTTCTGTGTCTTCTAATCTGTTCCACTGGTCCTCAGGCCTATTTCTTTGCCTGTGCCATGTTGTTTTTATCACAGTAGCTTTATAATATATAATGCCCCCTACCTTGTATTTGTTGCCTAGAATATATAAAGAATTTAAAGAAAATCCAACCTCCCAAATTTAAAAACCCAATCTAAAAATGAACATCTGAAATAAACAGACATTTCTCTGACAAAGAAGTAGAAATAGCAAATATGCATGAAAAAATGTTCAACATCACTGGTCATTTGAGACATACAAATAAAAACAACACTGAGATTCCACTTTATCCCAGAAAGAATGGTTATTATCAAGGAATAAACCAATAACAAATGCTGGCAGGGCTGTGGGTAAAAAGGAATCCTCCACTGTTGGTGGGAGTGTAGACTGGTGCAACAACTGTGGAAATCAGTATGGAGCTATCTCAAAAACTAGAATTACAGGTCCCATTTTAGCTGGGTAGCTATTCCCCTGCTGGGTATTTTCTGAAAAGAATTAAAAGAACCATACCACGGCAATATATGTGCACCCATGTTCATAGTGGCACAGTTTGTAATAGCTAAAACTTGGAAATAACCCAATTGCCCATCAACTGGAGACCGGATAAAGAAATTGTAGTTCTTTTATAAAATGGAGTACTAGTCAGCCATAAAGAATGAGAAACTAGAGCCATTTATAGCTAAATGGATGCACATTGAGGCGATATTCTTAAGTGAAACAAATAGGACACACCTATAAATACCAAATAGTTTCCCTGGTGTGAGAAACCAGAAGTATAAATAAGGATCAAAATGTATAATAGATAATGTGAAATAGGAAGAAAAGGTCCAAAGGAGAAGTGGAAATAGAGGGGAAGGCAATAAAAATGACACACACAAAAAAATGGAAACAAAGTCTCTGTAAATAGGGAGGGTTAGAGGGGTTGAATGGAGGGCAGGGGAATGGGGAAAAAATAGGAAGCAAGATATATTATGTAAAGGTACAAATTCCCAATGATGAATGTCATTGTATTGTATTTCTAAAATGTACCGATAGGCTTAATGAATAAAAATTAAATTCCATATGCAATGTAATTAAAATGTAAAAAAAGAAGGCAGTATAATGGTTGTAGAAAAAAAGAAAAGCAAGATTGGCATAATCTAGGAATAGGGAAGGATCTTCTAAACATGACATTGAAAGCCACCCCTCAAAATTTATAGATCAGTTACATGACAAGAACAATGAAAGTTCTCCGTATAGGCAAAGTTGAAGGACAAAAATTACATGACTTTATAATATGAGACATTTAAAAAAGTGTGTATAAAAATCAACAAAATAAGGGAGAGGAAAAAATATGAGAAATTGAAAAAATGGAAATAAAGTGTTTGTAAATGGGGAGGGGAGGAGGGGGTGAAGGGAGGGCAGGGACAAGGGAAAAAATGAGAATCAAGACCTGTCATGTAAAGGTACAAGATCCCAATAATGAATATAACTGTATTGTATACCTAGATTGTACCAATAAACTCAATAAAAAGAAAAAAAATTTATGAACAAATCCTCAGTAGCACGGGAACTAGCAGATAGAATCAACAACTGGGATCTCATCTTACTAAAAAGCTTCTGTACTTCAAAAGAAACCATCAGCAGAACTAAGAGACAACCTACAATGTGGGAAAAAATTTTTACCAGCTGTTCCTCAGACAAAGGACTATTATCAAGGATATAGAAAGAACTCAAAACAATCAGTCCCCCGAAATATAAAGACCCGATTCAAAAATGGGCATCCGAAAAGAACAGACATTTCTCAGACAAAGAAGTCAAAGCAGCAAGAAAATATTTGAAAAAATGTTCCACATCACTGGTCATTTGAGAGATGCAGATGAAAACAACACTGAGATTCCACCTCACCCCACAAAGAATGGCTGCTATCAAGAAATCACAAAATAACAAATGTTGGCGGGGTTGTGGGGAGAAAG